TTGTGCCGCTTCTACGGCAAGAACGGCTCGTTTCTCGGCCGTCATGCCACAGAAGCGGATTGTGGCGCAGTTCAGGCGGCGTAGCGAGCAAGGTAGATACCCGGGCCGCACCACTGTCTTGTTCGGCCTTAGTCGGGAGAGCGGTGTGGGCCACGGGGCAAGCCTTTAGCTTAGTGTCGGTGAATGCGCCGTGTTGATGGGGCATGTTCAGCACAACACTTTGCTGGGAAGGGGTTGGTGGGGAGGAATTAGCTTTTTGAGGAATGTAGGTTGTTTTAATCAAAACATTTGGTACATTCACAACATGTTTAGAAATACTTTTCAGAGCTACTACACTTCTGGAACAGCCCCATCTCAGGGGGTATAGCTCACTGGTAGAGCATGTCACAAGCAGCACACAACATATTAACACAGTGGTTTGGACAGGCTCCTCTGGCCGCGATGTAGATCCCCTCACCTGGGTGGGATCCCTGGGCGGCCCGGTGTCTCAGGGAGGGCGCTGTGCATCAGTGGATCCACCCTGAGTGGCCGGTGATGGCGCCAGTGGTGATCTGGCTTGACGGCGAGCACGCTGTCTGGCAGGTGGCGACTGAGCTGCGCCTTCTCCTCTTCCAGCCTTCTGAAGCACTGAGTAGCGGAAGATATGGAGCCAAAGAGGCCGTCGGACAAGATGGGGCACCCAACAGCTCTTCCTGGTCCTTCCCATGGACAGCAGTGAGTCCCAACCACATGCGGCGAGAACCTACTGTGGCCAGAGACATCAGGCGCCCAGCAGCAGTGGCCACACCCTGGACCAGGTTATTCATCTGACGGATGCTCCTCGGTGAGCAAAATGGGTGTAGTGCAGTGAAGTCCATGTAATTTTGATGTAACTGTGTACAGTATGACTGTCCAGTGTGTAAAAAAGAACTTTACCAATGACATCATGATTTTGCATTTTCTAAGAACAGCCAGACGACTTTCTGAGGGTGGAAGACAACGTCAGTTCAGCCATCAACAGGAACTGGCTATTGTCAGTACGGTGTTGGCAAACAACGCCATCCGCCTACATCAACTACGAGAGCAAATCCTTGCTGATCACACAACATTCCTTAATATACCGAGCTGTCAGTGCAAGACTCCTGAAGAAGAGAGGAGGTGGCCTCGATGATGCTCGGTGCACAAACACAGTCAAGATGTTTCCCCAAAGTCAGACTGTTTAATGTGAAGGTGAAACCAGATTATCATTTTGTTGCTGCTGTTTACATTCTCCCAGATGCAAATTAAATTGTTATTAAATTAATATTGTCGGTGTATTAAGATGTGAGCATCATTTCAATGTTGTAGACGGACGAGGTGGAGATAATTTAAACTGCTTTATATTCTGCTGGGAAGAACTCTGCACATGGAGGTTTCATCATAAAGTTATGATGGAAAAATACACAGTAGGTGACACAGAGCAGCTGAATTATACTGATTCACCCTTTATGTCCGTCTACACTGATAACTGGACCGAGACTGAGGAGTCCTGCTGTCTGCTCACAGATCAAACTGGTTAAACTGCCTCAGTGTTTCCTGGGAACAGATGACCTTGATTTGAAACCAGTAAACACTGTTGACACCATGAAGGCCAAAGTAACGTTTTCACTCACAGAAGAAGTACTCAGATCCTTTACCTTGAGTAAAAGTATCAATACCACAATGTAAAAACTCCATTACAAGTCAAAGCCTCTATTCAGAATCCTACTGAACTACTAAGCAGAAGTACAGAAGTGTTATCAGTTAAATGTACTTTAATATCAAAACTCAAAGTAACTATGCCCACATTGACTGATAATGTGCTTTTTCATTTCTCACTGATTGATTGAGCTGAGCTCCAAGGGATCCATTACCTGACTCACACAGCTGCTTGCTTGATGGGCTGGTTTAAAACAATGGTTTACGTGATCTCTTTATGGAGGTTAATATTGTTTTTTTTCACCAGTAACACATGACTTGTTACAAACTGGATCTGCCGTTAGAGTTTACAAACATTCAGACACGTTCATCAGGGCTGCAAACATTTCATTTAGTTTGGAGGGAGATTCAGTATGTGTGAAGTTTGAGTCCGAGACTTTAACCTCCGCAAGGGTCGGGGTCATCCCTCCTCAACCCACAGGAATTTTATAAAAATGATTAGCAGCCATATTCACAATTTTAAAGCATGCATAGATGAAAAGCCAAAGTCAATAATCAAATATAAACCTTTAATAAGTATGGTTGACCAGCAAACTTGTGTGGTGGGAATTCTGCTGAAATGAACCCCTTGAGCCGTGATCGCTTGTCTTTCTGTAGGTTTATTCAGTCATCTGTCTTTAATTTAAAAAGTGTGAAAGGAGAATTACATTTATCAAATAATTATATTTCGTTCGGTCTTTAAATGATACATTAATAATTGAATTTTACAATAGACTATAGAAATAATTTTAGCTGTTATTTTATTTGCCACTGTGTCAGGTGCTCACATGTCTTTATGTTAAGACTTTAAATCTAAACAAACACAAAATCGAAACGAAATATTAAAGAAAGGAAACAAATCAACTGTGAGATTGAATATTGGTAAATTTGTCAAATTTGTCAAATTTAAAAGCCTATTAAAAGTACAAATGGTAATCATAAATTCATTATTTAAACAGATTATTCATTCATTATTTTTATACAGAATAAGAGAAAAAAGTCATTTACTGGTCACTTTAATAAAATTTTAGTAGCTTTTTTAAAATGGTTCATTTTATTAACTGATTATAATTAAACACACAGGATATAATTAACACTCAGGCTTCGTAAATGTTATTTATTTAATTTCATTATGTTGAAGATGGTCGACAACAATAAAACTTTTTAAAACTTTAAAGTGAAAATCCTACCAATAAGTTCTTCATTATTTCACCTGTTTCCAGCAAAGTTAACAGAACCACAATGATTGGTGATCAGTTAGCTGATAAAATTACTATTTTGATAATTTATTTTAGTCATTTTGCAAACTGTTGCCTAAATTTCTCTGATGTGAGAATATATATGATGATGAACTGTATCTTTAGGTTACTTAGGTGTAGGAAGTTTTGTAAAAGGACATATTTCTGTAATTTATGCCATTAAAAAAAAGAAGATGAATCGAGAAAATTATGCAATCAAAAACATAATCAGACATCTTCTGGGAATAATTCATCAAAAGTAAGAGCAGCAATCTACATAAACTCCATGATACAAACTTAGGTTCCTTCCAACGAACGCACAAGCAATCCCAGTCCCGGCTGTTCTCATCTGTGTCACCACGATGGTGGAACGAGCTACCACACGCCGTCAGAGCAGAGCAGTAACTTCAAGAAGCCTTCCTCTTATTTTTATTTACATTTATTTCCAAAGCGACTTACAACTATACATGTAAGAGGTCGCACACCTCTGGAGCAACGAGGGGTTAAGTGTCTTGCTCAGAGACACAATGGTGGATGGGTTACAGGGAGTTGAACCTGGGTCTCTCACACCAAAGGCATAGTCTTATTCACTGCGCCATCACCACCCCTCTTATAACACCTCTAACACCTTCTTCTTCTATCCCCTACAATTATCTTGTATTGATTGCACTTTTTTGTGTTAACTCTTTGTTCTTTCCCTTGGTATTTACCTCATTGATGTGCAATCCCAGTCCCGGATGTGTTGTGTTCAGGAGCTTTGTAGGTAAGAAGAACAAATTTAAATTCTATTCTGGATTTTACAGGAAGCCAATGCAGAGAAGCTAAAGCTGTGTCTCAATTCAGGAACTGCATCCTTTGAAGGGCGTGGCCTTCGTGGCACATGAAGGCATGCGGCCACAAAAGGCTGAACCGACCGTTGTTAAATGAGACGGTCTGGTCTACGGAAGACTGTCTATTGCGTCATCAACTGACCCCGTCCTTACCCATGCGTGGGGAAGCGCCGCTCCTGTCACCTAGCAACCTTCATAGCTGCAGTCCACCGGCATTGATATTTTAACTCTTAATAGAGGAACTAGAGGTACTTTACCACCAGCGCAGCCGCATGATGTATCTCAGGCTGAGAGAGGACCCTGGCCAGGTAAATAGTGGGGGAAAGTAACTAAGAAACGTTACATTTTATATGTATTTAGGTACTATGGGCTTCCTAAAGCTAACTGCCATTTCACTTTAACAACATAATTTCATATTTAAAGAAAACCTAACCTTACTTTAATATTAAAATATTGACACTGTTTTTGTCATTGATCAGCAAAAACAAGTTTAATAGAAAGATATACAAGCCTTATCTAACTAAGCTCTCTACACTTCATAACAGTTGTTCTTCTCCTGTGTATCTCTTCATCAGCCCCGGCCCCTGTACTGCAGGATAAATCTGAGTGTGCCTGTATTGGACAGGTTTTTTAGCCAGCAGGACACATGGACTGATTTCTGGTTGAGTAGGGAGGCCCTGGGAGTGCTACTGGGCCTCCTAAACCAGGACGGGGACACGGATGGGGTGCCACGATTGAGACCCTGGTCTTTCTCTTCTGGCTGATAGGTGGGGCATCATACAGGGTGGTCTCCAGAGTGTTTGCAATGCCTAGATCCTCTGTCCACCGCATCGTCCACAGAGTCACTGAGGAGGTGGTGGCCATTCGCCACAAGGTCATCCACCTACCGAAGACCCAGGATGAGTTACAACCGATATCCTGTGGGTTTGCAGGGCTGGCAAGACACAGAGCCTTTTTTACAGCAGCTGGAGCAATCGACGGCTGCCATGTCCGCATCAAGCCACCGAGCGGCCCTGATGGTCAGTGCTACAGGAACAGGAAACTGTTCCACATTACAGTTAACTTGTTTAATTACTCCACATATTAATCTTAAGGTGTCTTTAAATCAAAACAATAGAAACTAAATGTTAAACAAAGAAAATTTGTTAAATTTAATGACTTTTAAAATAGAAAATAATAACAATTGTAATTTTAATCATTAATTCAACAATAAATACAAAACAAAGAAATAGAGTCATTAACTGGTCAATCTAATGATCTTTTATTGGATCTTTGAGTTTATAGCATGATTTAAAGTCAGTATTGAGTTTGATTAAAAGCTTATGGGTGAGTTTATTAACTGATTATAATTAAACACTGAAAAGCTCTGATTGACTCCAGGCTCCATAAAATCAAAAAAGTTTAAAGTTTCACTGAAGTGAAAATTCTGCAGCTGAGCTCAAATTATTTCACATGTTTCCAGCACAATTATTAGAACATGAACGACTGGACATCGATTAGTTTATCAATAGAAAATTAATCGATAACTGAACATAGTTATCGATAGATCCAGCTTCTAAGATGTAAGGATTTAAATGACGAACTGAACATCTTTGGGTTTTACGCTCCTGGTCCAAATGTTTTTTGAGTACATCAGGTTGTGTGAAGTTATAAAATGACTGAAAAAATAAATCAATTATTGAGAAAATACAAAACCAAGCTTTAACATTATATAAACTTCTATATTCTTTTGTGCAAAACATCCAGTAAGTTGTAGACAGAACAGGGAAAGAGACAGAATGATGAATCAATCACTGGAGAAAATAATCAGCAGATTAATCGGTAATGAAAACATTTGCTTGTTGTAGCCCTTGTTTTTTAAATCAGGTGTCATTACACCAGTTTCTCTTCTCCTCTATCGACTCTTTTCTGTAAAAACTCCTTCAGCACAAGAAGCCGAGCTGGAAACAGGTGGAAATATTTGACTCCAGGAGCAGATTTTGTTGCTTGTCGTAAAATAAAATAATCTCAAAAGGCAAAAAAATATGAGACAGAGATTTGGACACCATCCTGGTGCATTAAATTTTCTATGAAAGGAGAAAGAGGGAGAAGAGAACCGGCTCGATGGACAGCAGCAGAGGAAGCGAGAGGGAAACCAGGTGAACGGTTCCAGAGAAGACGAAGCGCGGCTGGTCGGTAGTGATATGGCTGTTGATCCAGGAGTGATACTGGGACACTCGGGCGTAGACTCCTGGGAAATTAGGTTGAGCGCAGAGTTCTCCAAAACTCACTACTCCAGCCTGGACCCAGGTCGAGCTGGTTTTAGTCACCAACGGTCCTCCTGAATCCCCCTGCAGACGTCAGACAGGTTGGTTATAGTACTTTATTTTATGGGAATAACAAACTGATGCAGATGCAGGATAAACTCTTCTGGAACCAGCAACAGATCTATTGATTAGTGCAACTTCAAACGTGTTTTGCAGACAGACTCACCTGGCAGGAGTCCTTTCCTCCCTGGGCCACTCCGGCACAGATCATGTTGCTTGTGATTTTTCCGCCGTAGGCAGTGTAACATTCATCGTTGGACACGATGGGTACACTCACCTCCTGCAGATTCTGGGGGTAAGGAAGGGAAACTGAAAAAGAAAAGGAGATATTAATGTTGAGTCTGCCTGGATTGTCTCACAGCCTGATCTTGTTGTGGTCCAGCAGTCCTTCCCTCTTGTCCCCTGTGTTAAGGTTTGTCAAGCTAAGACACAGGGAACTGGGATTTGGGCCCAGACACATAAAATACAGGTGCTGATCATATAATTAGAATATCATCAAAAAGTTGATTTATTTCAGTAATTCCATTCAAAAAGTGAAATTTGGATATTATATTAATTCATTACACACAGACTGATATATTTCAAATGTTTATTTCCATTTCATTGTGATGATTAAAAGTGACAACTAATAAAAATCCCAAATTCAGTATCTCCGAAAATTAGAATATTACTTAGACCAATACAAAAAAAGGATTTTTAGAAATGTTGGCCAACTGAAAAGTATGAACATGAAAAGTATGAGCATGTACAGCACTCAATACTTAGTTGGGGCTCCTTTTGTCTGAATTACTGCAGCAATGCGGCGTGGCATGGAGTCGATCAGTCTGTGGCACTGCTCAGGTGTTATGAGAGCCCAGGTTGCTCTGATAGTGGCCTTCAGCTCTTCTGCATTGTTGGGTCTGGCGTATCGCATCTTCCTCTTCACAATACCTCATAGATTTCTATAGGGTTAAGGTCAGGCCAGTTTGCTGGCCAATTAAGGGGATACCATGGTCCTTAAAACAGGTACTGGTAGCTTTGGCACTGTGTGCAGGTGCCAAGTCCTGTTGGAAAATGATCTCTGCATCTCCATAAAGTTGGTCAGCAGCAGGAAGCGTGAAGTGCTCTAAAACTTCCTGGTAGACCGCTGCGTTGACCTTGGACCTCAGAAAACACAGTGGACCAACACCAGCAGATGACATGGCACCCCAAACCATCACTGACTGTGGAAACTTTACACTGGACTTCAAGCAACGTGGATTCTGTGCCTCTCCTCTCTTCCTCCAGACTCTGGGACCTTGATTTCCAAAGGAAATGCAAAATTTACTTTCATCAGAGAACATAACTTTGGACCACTCAGCAGCAGTCCAGTCCTTTTTGTCTTTAGCCCAGGTGAGACGCTTCTGACGCTGTGTCTTGTTCAAGAGTGGCTTGACACAAGGAATGCGACAGCTGAAACCCATGTCTTTCTTGAAGCACTGACTCCAGCTGCAGTCCACTCTTTGTGAATCTCCCCCACATTTTTGAATGGGTTTTGTTTCACAATCCTCTCCAGGGTGTGGCTATCCCTATTACTTGTACACTTTTCTACCACATCTTTTCCTCCCCTTCGCCTCTCTATTAATGTGCTTGGACACAGAGCTCTGTGAACAGCCAGCCTCTTTAGCAATGACCTTTTGTGTCTTGCCCTCCTTGTGCAAGGTGTCAATGGTCGTCTTCTGGACAGCTGTCAAGTCAGCAGTCTTCTCCATGATTGTGTAGCCTACAGAACTAGACTGAGAGACCATTTAAAGGCCTTTGCAGGTGTAATTAATCAGCTGGTTAGAGTGTGGCACCAGGTGTCTTCAATATTGAACCTTTTCACAATATTCTAATTTCCTGAGATACTGATTTTGGGGTTTTCATTAGTTGTCAGTTATAATCATCAAAATTAAAAGGAATGAACACTTGAAATATATCAGTCTGTATGGAATGAATGTATACATTATACAAGTTTCACTTTTTGAATGAAATTACGGAAATAAATCAACTTTTTGATGATATTCTAATTATATGACCAGCACCTGTACAGTTAGTGTCACCAGATTCAAAACATAAACAGGAAGTAAAGATTTAACATAATAAAACTGCACAAATCATCAGTACAAAAGAACAAAATATTGATCCATCCATTTTCTGCCTCTGATCTACAGCAGGGTCTCTGTGTCAGCGGGCCAATCAAGTTCCAGACGGCCATGATCCATTACTGAAGTAAAAGTCCTGCATACAACATTTTACTTAAGTGAAAGCACACAAGTATAGTGACAAAGTATCGAAAATGATTGTGCATTTTTTTAGGTTTACATGGACTTTTAATGACGTCATCTTGTCTACATGTGGTGTCATTGCGGTGTTGTTGTTTGCAAAACACACCAATACAAACTGAATTAATCATTAATCATTCATTATTAACAAAACATTAAAAAAATTATTGTAATACACTGCTAAAAAAAATAATAGGGAACACTTAAACAACACAATGTAACTCCAAGTCAGTCACACTCCTGTGAACTGTCCACTTAGGAAGCAACACTGATTGATAATTAATTTCACATGCTGTTGTGCAAATGGAATAGACAACAGCTGGAAATTATAGGCAATTAGCAAGACACCCCCAATAAAGGAGTGGTTCTGCAGGTGGTGACCACAGACCACTTCTCAGTTCCTATGCTTCCTAGCTGATGTTCTGGTCACTTTTGAATGCTGGCGGTGCTTTCACTCTAGTGGTAGCATGAGACGGAGTCTCAGGTAGTGCAGCTCATCCAGGATGGCACATCAGTGCGAGATGTGGCAAGAAAGTTTGCTGTGTCTGTCAGCGTAGTGTCCAGAGCACGGAGGCGCTACCAGGAGACAGGCCAGTACATCAGGAGACGTGGAGGAGGCCGTAGGAGGGCAACAACCCAGCAGCAGGACCACTACCTCCACCTTTGTGCAAGGAGGAGCAGGAGGAGCACTGCCAGAGCCCTGCAAAATGACCTCCAGCAGGCCACAAATGTGCATGTGTCTGCTCAAACGGTCAGAAACAGACTCCATGAGGGTGGTATGAGGGCCCGACGTCCACAGGTGGGGGTTGTGCTTACAGCCCAACACGTGCAGGACGTCTGGCATTTGCCAGAGAACACCAAGATTGGCAAATTCACCTCTGGAGCCCTGTGCTCTTCACAGATGAAAGCAGGTTCACACTGAGCACATGTGACAGACGTGACAGAGTCTGGAGACGCCGTGGAGAACGTTCTGCTGCCTGCAACATCCTCCAGCATGACCGGTTTGGCGGTGGGTCAGTAATGGTGTGGGGTGGCATTTCTTTGGGGGGCCGCACAGTCCTCCATGCGCTCGCCAGAGGTAGCCTGACTGCCATTAGGTACCGAGATGAGATCCTCAGACCCCTTGTGAGACCACATGCTGGTGCGGTTGGCCCTGGGTTCATCCTAATGCAAGACAATACTAGACCTCATGTGGCTGGAGTGTGTCAGCAGTTCCTGCAAGAGGAAGACATTGATGCTATGGATGGTTCCCCAGACCTGAATCCAATTAAGCGCATCGGGGATAACATGTCTCGCTCCATCCACCAACGCCACGTTGCACCACAGACTGTCCAGGAGTTGGCGGATGCTTTAGTCCAGGTCTGGGAGGAGATCCCTCAGGAGACCATCCGCCACCTCATCAGGAGCACGCCCAGGCGTTGTAGGGAGGTCATACAGGCACGTGGAGGCCACACACACTACTGAGCCTCATTTTGACTTGTTTTAAGGACATTACATCAAAGTTGGCTCGGCCTGTAGTGTGGTTTTCCACTTTGATTTTGAGTGTTACTCCAAATCCAGACCTCCATGGGTTGATAGATTTGATTTCCATTGATAATGTTTGTGTATGTATGTAAAGAAAGGAGTATTTAATGAGATTATTTCATTCATTCAGATCTACGATGTGTTATTTTAGTGTTCCCTTTATTTTGTTGAGCAGTGTATATTTATTGCATGTTAACGCACTTTTATTATTATTATTTTGAAAGTCCGTTGCTCACTGGCTCTGAATACACGTAGGCCTACAGTCAAACCATGGGTGACAGGAGAGGTGGGATGCTGATCAGCCTGCAAATAACCCACCCAAACAAGCAGCGGAGAGGCTTCGTCAGGTTCTCTCAGGTGAACAGAAAGGGAGACAGCTTTAATTTAAATTAAAATAATAATAAAATACATACATAACTTTACCTGATAGGCCTGCATTTAGTTTTGCGGGGATGCTCTGCCATGTGAATTCCCTCCTGTTGATGTCCTGATAACTATTTAGATTCTGGAAACTCCCAAACAGCGAGGATCAGTCTCTCTTCCAATGATTTGAGCTGCGCGTCGCGCACAAAAAATTCAAGACAATTCAACTTCGGCAGCACGCGGGGGTGTGCGTGAGGCGAGCACGACCGCTTGTCACTACACCTTGTGCTCGACCACTTCACCTCACTGTAAAAGGGACACTTGCTACTGAACATAGACTGTTTCTGCTGCTCCCTGATAAAGAAAAATGTTTCTGCTGATACCTGTTCAGAAAACTGGACTCTGGACTGTTTTAACCAGCTAGATAAAAGGTAATGCCCTGGCAGTGACAAATAGCTTTGTTTTTATATTTGATTTTATAACATTAATGTTTAACTTGAGAGCTACAAGAAATATTTTATTGCTACTGTGTAAAGGGAATACTGCTGGTAAAAAGCAACTTATTTGTTTAAAGTGTTTGCAAACTTCATGTTATTGCACTTTTGTGTATATAGCAGTACATTTAAATTAAAATTGCTACTACACTACTTTAGAATTCATTATTCAATTTTGCGCATAACAATGCGATTAATCACGATTCATCAGTTAGTTTTCGGGATGTGCAGTGTGGGTGCGGGGCAGGGCTGTGCTCCGGTTTGTTCTGGGCTTGTGCCTGGAGTTCTCGGCCCTTGACGGGTGGGTGGATTGGTGGTGGCATGCAGCTGAGCTGGTTGATTTTGCTTCGTTGCTGGTTTGGCTGGTGTTGTACGGCGGCCGGGGGGCGTGCTGGGCATGGGGGATGTCGGCTGGCATGATGTTGGCGGGTGCACGGGGACCTGTGCGGCACGTTTGCTGCCGTGCTGGGACTTGCTGCTGGTGTTTCTCTCCGCTGGCTTTCGCTGTCGTGTTGTTCCGTTTGCTCTCTCTCGTTTGCCCGACCTCGCACGCGGGATTAGCAGGGGGCTGCTGGGCATTGGGTGTCGCCGTGCTTGCGCAGTGTGCGCGTTGGGCTCGTCACTTGTGCATTGGCGTTGATGATTGTGTGGCATTTTTGGTTGTTCGTTGTGCGGCGGTGGGGTGCTGGGTGGGGGGGGGGGACACTGGTCTATGTTGTGTGCGCGCCGCATTCGGTCCGGGCGCTGCTCTTCCGTGGGTTGCGCTTCTTGCATTCCGTCGGCATTACGTTGTCAACTGGCATTTAGATGGCGTTTTTTTTATTTATTTATTTTTTGGGGCGTCTGTTGGTTGGGTCGGGGTCTTCCGTGTTTGCATCGCGGTGCATCTGGGAGTCTTTGTTTTTTGATAGACTTATTTTTTTCTTTCTCCCACCCCTATTGGCAACTGGGGTTCTTGCCTGCCTGTTGCTGGGGTAGGTGTGGCACAGTCGTGGCGTCCCACTCTCACTAACAACTACATTCTTTAACAGGTTTATGCGCACACACACATGTACACACACACATACAGACACATTCACCCACACGCACACAGACACAATCAGTCTCACACATAGACACAAACAAATTTAGGTTGTCCTTGGTAGAACTATTCCTGATGCCTTTCTTTCAGTTACTTATTTAAATTAATTGTTATTATTCCAGCTCTCGTGGCTGTGCTGTGTTGCTTATTTAGTTGTTTGTTTTTGTTTGTGTTTGTTTATTGTTGTTTTTCTCCTCCCCAAGCCCCCCTCCCCGTTCTCTTGCAGGTTTTGTTGCTTTCTGCAATTGGTGTTTCCCACAGCTTTTCCCTGTTGTCCCCACCTTCCATCCCCCTTCACTTACAGGTGTTGTCCTTTCTCTGTGCCGTCTGTTTGTGCCCCCCCCATTCCCATGTCTGCCCCCCTGTCCGGCCCGGTGACAAATCAATACATAATTAAATAAATAATAAAACAGACAAAGGAGTATATTAATCTCTCTATATTAAACTCTCTTGTTAAAGTAAAATCTGTCTGGCACAATATGGTCATTATACTCTATACCAGGCTGCTGGGCAGGACAGGTTTAAAAAAAATCACACTTCACGAATCACAATTCATTGCAAGAAAATTATGCGATTATTCACGATTGAAAATTATAATCGTTGCCCAGCGCTAATTTTAATCCTCACCTCCATACTGTATGTCTCCCCATCCGGTGACCCAGCAGGTTGTCCCGGCGTTAAAGACGCTGCCGGCCGCCGCCAGACACACGGGTCTGATGTAGTCGGTGAAGTTAACAGGTGAGGACAGCTTCAGCAAGGCTATGTCGTTATCGTTCGGGATTTTATTATAGTTGGGATGCTTGATGATCTGGGACACAGTCCGGGACATCGCATTTGTATTCGGCAAGTCTAGGGTGTCACCACCGAGGTGAACGGTGAGACCAAGTGGGGCGCTGAGAAGCAGAAAAGACAACATGTTTAAATATGTGACAGATACTGGTGCTGTCCGTGTGTGAATTTTAGAATAAACTACATTAAATAAATCATGGTTCATTTCTCCAGTCAGTTCCCTTGACCAATGAACTGGCCTGGATCTGAACCTTTTGTCTTAATCTGTATGTATAGTAACATCAGTGCCAGTTTCTTCACTTGTCTTTTTGTGCTTTTATTATGCTTATGGTTTGGAGTTCATGCTCAAAACTTGCTGCAAAAAGTCATTTCTCTTGTGGAGCAATATGTATCATGTATGTACGTATTTCATGTATTTATTACAACTTTAATGGTGTCTGATTATTGCTAACAGCATAAAGAAAAACATGCAGTGTGGTTTTGATGTGGGTTACTGAGGCACCCTCATTGCATTCTCTGTTGCTAAGCTTGCACGTGTGAAGTCATGTGACAGGATCGAAGCTCACCTGGAGACACAGTGAGCAGCAGTCAGGACCCACTGTTTGTTGATCAGGGAGCCTCCACAGAAATGATCTCCGTTGGTCTGCAGACTGACCTGCCAGGGCCACGACCCGGGAGAAGCATTCGCCCCTCCTACAATCCTCTCACACGACCCTGGTGAGGTGATCCCCTCACCTGGAGGGACACAGTTAAAATTCATGTATATTCATGTTTTTGGGTCTGGTTTGTTCACAGTATTGTTTCTCTCTGGGTGCCATCATCTGTGTGGATTTGTTTAATCCAGCATGAGCTCGGCTCTAAAGATGATCCTGTCAGTCTGTCTGTCCAGCTCTTTGGTCTGGATGAATCAACAACTATCGGATAGATTGTGTTGAAATGTGTTTCAGCCCTTCATGTTCTCCACAGGATGAACTGTAATAACTTCTGACATCAACACTTTGGTTGCAAAACTACATGCAGGCCTATCAGGTAAAGTTATGTATAATTTTTATTTAAGTTAAAAGGCTACAGCTGCGTAGTGCACTGAAGCCCTTGCCATCGTTACTATCCATAGAGCGCCTGCGGAGCACTGTCTCCCTTTCTGTTCACCTGAGAGAACCTGCTGAAGTTAACATGCAATAAAGAAATTGCGGGCGTTAATTAATTAATGCGTTAAAGCGATAACACGTTAACGTGCCCAGCCCTAATCATAAGACATTCATGTCATATTTTGGATAGAGGGGTCATGTCTCTAGTAAACAGGAAGTAGCAGGAGGATAACAGGGGAGATAACGGGAAGGCAGGGTCCTGTAATAATCTTTGTTCAGACAATAAAGCAAGCAGACATTGCATGTGGTGATTAAATTCAGGATGCAAGTCTAATTCAGTACAGGTACACAACGATTCCCCAGCTTCAGCTGTACGATGATGTTTACTGCTAATTAGCTAATGTTAGTATGCTAACAAGCTAAACTAAGATGGTGAACGTGCTAAACATCATCATGTTAGCATTGTTATTGTGGGTGTACTGACGTTAGCATTTACAACCCCAATTTCAATGAAGTTGGGACGTTGTGTAAAGCGTAAATAAAACCAGAATACATTCATTTGCAAATCCTTTTCAACCTATATTCAATTTAATACACTACAAAGAAAATATATTTAACAACAATAACAACGTTCCTCAAAGTACAATTGCAAGGAATTTTGGGATTTCATCATGTACAGTCCATAATATCATTAAAAGATTCAGAGAATCTGGAGAAATCCTCCAGCTGAACTCAGAGTAAACAGTGATCCCTGTCATTGAGCACACGGAAAAGCAAATTCTGCCACAGTTTCAATGAATCTTGGCATTTGGTTGTGCAATTGTGTTTTTATCGTCATAAAAATACATCTATCTTAACTTTTAAGGACACTGACACCATGTTACACACCGTCATCTCATCACGCCTGCATTACTGCAACAGTTTTACCTGCTTGACCCAAAAATCTATTGATCAACTCCAGACTGTCCGGAGCCAGAACCAAGAAATGTGTTCACATCGCTCCTGTTTTAGCTTCATTAAACTAGCTCCCACAATGTAGAGGTCTGTTGTCGGTTTAAGAGACTGAAAACTAAAGGGGGCCCAGTGTTTGCAGTCAGGGCCCAGAGGCTCTGGAACAACCCGAGGAAATCAGGTCGGCTGAGCCAGTGAACTCTTATAATTTCCTTCTTAAAACATACTTCTATCCTTTTACTGATTTTACATGACTTTATTTTTATTTTCTTTACACTGCATTTGAATTATTTTCTCATTTTAATTCCTCAAAATAACTTCTTATACATCTTTTTAAACATATTTAAACCTGATGTTTTTTTATGACCTGTGTGTTTTATTTTCTGATCTTGTGAAAGTTAATTTGGACATGGATTTTGAAAAGTGCTCAATAAATATAGATTAAAATAAGAAGAAGCTTGTTAACATGTTAGCATGCTGCTGGAAGCACAGCAGGAGCTGATGTAAAATTCAAAGTTACTAGGACTCATCCTGAGGGGAACATGAACGTCTGAACCACACTTCACAATTTAACCAACTTCTGTGGAGAGACAGTATTCGACTCTAATGGAGCTTCAAAAGTGCAACTAAAAGCTGCTTTTCAGACCTGGACTGGATTAATGATGAGGGTTTAAAGTCTGTTTTTAACTCAAGGAAACAGAAATCCAATGAACAGAATGAAAGAAAGAATGAGGATAGAACTCACCAGCTGACTGCGCATTGCTTCCTGTAGGCGAGACACAAATAACAGTACATTTAGTCACAGGAAACTTTATTTGATTGTGCAGTGATTATAATCTTCAGATTATCTTTAAATGTGTTTATTTAATTGTCCCTTCTATTTAAAACAGCATCTGATTCCATGTAGATCTTCATATCCACTCAGACACATGCAATACCCATTTTTTCTGTGTACCCAGAACTTATAAAGAAGTTGGACGTAGATCGTTTTAATATAAAGGGCCATGGGACTGGAATAATCTTCCTCTTGCCTTGAGATCTATAACTTCTTGTCAGGGGTTGTGTGGTGAGGCAGGTTGGAGGACCCAAATGCAGGACACACGGCTGGCAGGGATAGTTCAAAGATTTATTAAACCAAATGCGAGCGCACTTACAAGCAGTGGCCGAGTCCAAAGGAGAATCCACAAGGGCAAGGGGAAAAACACAAATCCAAAATACAGGCAGAAATCCAAAAACAGACAGAGCTTCTTCACGCAACAAAACACTGCAATGACCAGACAAAGAATAAACAGAAACACCAGGTATACACACACACACACTCACACACACACTCACACACACAGGGACTAACAAGCAGGGCGGGAACAACACAGGTGACAGGGATCAAGGCAAACGAGGCAGGCAGAGAGACAGCAGGGAGAAACGTCTCGGGTTACGAACGAGACACTGCGTCGGTGACGACATTATGGGAACGCCTCTGGGCGTGGCAGGGCTGAAATCATGAATGAAAATACTCCAATCCTATTGGCGTTGCTAGAACAGTAGTGTGTGACGGCGTAACTGGAGGCGTATATAAGCCCTTACGGCCATAGGTGAAGGTAACCCACGCACCTGATAGGCCAGGGAAATAGTCTGAACAATCCAGTTGCTGATCGTGTGTTTAGAAGCGGGGAGCCCAGCCTTGGGGGACCTGAAACACACCAGCAACTGGTCTGCTTTCCTCCACCGGGAGGACCTCAGAGTGTAAATACTCAGTGCTCTGATCGGGCAGAGCAGATGAAGTCTCCCGTCCTCCACCGTCACATGAGGTGGGGGATGAAACGCCTGCAGCACCGTAGACCCTGCCAACCTGGACGGAACCTTAGGGACATAACCTGGACAGGAGTGCAGGTTGGCTCTGACCCCCCCCGGGGCAAACTCCAGGCAAAGAAACTGAAAGTGCCTGGAGATCCCCCACCCTCCTCAGAGAGGTGATAGCGAGGAGAAAAGCCCTCGGGGCTGGTGGCCGGTGTTATGCGTAGGTCTCTGGCGGCACCCTGAAGCGGAGGTCCACCACGGAAAACCTGCCGAAAACCCGTGGCGTGTGAGCCCGAGCGCCTCCGGACTGCGGCCCCTCTGACAGCGCATGCTCGGTGGAGGCTAGCGCGACCCGAACGTTGATACGGCGGGATAACAGCGCCTGTTGCCACGAGGGAGGGGACCTCGGTCGCCTTCTCTCGGGAGGGGCTCGGCAAGACTGAAGAAAAGTCCTCGTATCCGTTGTCTCGGGGGGCTGTGGGCGAGAGCGCCGCCTCAAGTCCCGGGTGCGCTGAGGGGGACCTCGAGCAGCGACACTCTGCCTCTGGCTCTGGCGGTAGGAGCTGGACAACGGCTGGGACCGTCTCTCTGCAGTCGCCGCCATCTTGGACCCAGACCGGCGCAGGAGATACTGCTGGAAAGCCTCACCTTGCGTCCTGGCATGCTGGAACCTGCCAGAGGTCGCGACCGGTGCATCGAGCAGGAAGGTCTTCTCCCTCTCCTGGTTGCCCGATAGATTGAGCCACAGTTGCCGCTAAACAAAACCGCCATTGTGTGCAGGCTCGCACCAGCCCTTGTCCACCAGAGCAGATGTCACGCGACATGGCTTGGTAGGCAGCGCCGGCTCTTTAAGGGACGACGCATGGCCGGGCGAGAGATAGCTGGCCAAAGCATCCTCAACCCGGGGTATCGTCCCATAACCAGAGCCCTTGACCCCCGCGACGTCACTATAAACCCGGAGCAGGGGAGTAGTAAAACGTGCTGAGAAGGGCTTACCCCAGGATTTGCACAACTCGTCATGCAAATCTGGGAAAAAGGGCAGAGACCGGCGTGGAGGCGGCGCGCAGCGCTGTAGGAAGTGCTAATCCAGCTTACTGGCAGCCTGTGTGTCTGGCATGGGCTGCGGCCAATCAAGCTGGAGCTTGCCCACTGCTCGTGTCACCACCTCCAAGAGCTCGTCATAGATCGCCACTGACTGATGACGTTGCTCCGGTACCCGGAAGTCTTCCTCCTCCAAAATGCTGATCACATCCAGCTCCTCAGAGCCGGACAGCTGCAGCCTCTCCGGGCTCACACCCCGAGCGGGAGAAGCCGAAAAACGGGCTCCCGAACGGGGAAGAGGGGAGTCGGAGCCAGCAGACGAGGAACGGGAAAAAGCCTCAGCAGTCCCGATGCCGTCGGAAATGTCGCGCTGGGAGCCCCATGAACGAAGCCGCCGCACCACCTCAGCGACCGCCGGGCCCGAGCCACGGGGAGAGCAGATCCGGCCGTCTCCGGAGAAAAGAGCCACACGGGACCTCAGCACCCTCAGGGGCAGGTCCTCGCAATGGTCGCAAGCAGCCCCCTCGAGAGCTGCCTGGGCATGCGGCATCCCCAGACAGGAAACACACAGGACATGAGTGTCCCCAGCCGTGATGTAGCGCAGGCATGGAAAAACACACTGCCTGAATTGCTCACCAGCCATCTCTTCTGTTTCTCCTTCCAGGTAATCTTTCCGTACTGTGGTAGCTTTCTTCTGCATAGTCTCAAACATGCCAGAGTGCCTGCTGAATAGAAAAAAGCTAATGTGTCCGGTGTGCCGGCGTGCTTATATACGCCTCCAGTTACGCCGTCACACGCTACCGTTCTAGCAACGCCAATAGGATTGGAGTAGGTTCATTCATGATTTCGGCCCTGCCACGCCCAGAGGCGTTCCCATAGTGTCGTCACCGACGCAGTTCGAGTTATCTCGAAGGGGAACAGAGAGACTAGCAGGCAGGCAGACAGATTAGTGAGGGGGGGAAAGACAAAACACAAGTTACTCAACACTAAGTAGTATAAATAAACTAATACAAGCAGACAGATCACAAATAAACCAACAAGGAACACAGACAGAAGCTGAGATTAAAGAGAACACGCAGCAGGCAAGGGCAACATCACGCAGAGGTACACAGACCAAAAGCAAACACAAAGACATGAACTGACACACAGAACCAGGAGCTAAGATGCAGAGCAACCAAGAACACGAGACCAGGAACCGAACCTCAAAACAGGAAACATGACAACTGACTAACAGAATGGAGTAGGGAACAGAGACAGAACCGACTGGGAACAGGATAACAATAACCATGGAACAGAACAGAACAGCAAGTAAGGGAAATAGCCAAACACAACAGACTATATAACAGATACTGGACAAAGGACAACAGATAGAACTGAACCCAAAACTCAACAACTCGAAGACAGATACTGAACAGATCAAAATAACAAACACTGAAGTACACGGACCAGGAGTAAATACTAAGACATTAACACCGGACTGGGAACTAAGCCATTGAACCAAAACACAGACTACATAACAGATACCTAAGATGTCTATGAAGATTCTCAGTCGTCCAGGTCATAGTTATCCAACGAAGGTTAAAATCAAGGGCAACTGGACTTGGTTGAAGATACTGGAAGACGTTTCGTCCCTCATCCAAAGGACTTCTTCAGTTCTTACTGACTGGCAGGGAAACTCAGCTATTTAACCTCAGTGGGGTCGTTGGCCCGGGTCATAGGACCGCTGGTTCATTAGTGTTCCTGGTTGCTGTGACGACAGTCGTTACAGTCGTACTGTACAACGGTGGATTCTACAGACAGAAGCATGGCTGTGCCATGGGCTCACCGGTATCACCGATTCGTTGCAAACATCTACATGGAAGAAGTGGAGAATAAAGCCCTCAACTCCTTCAGAGGAATAGCACCGAGCCACTGGTACAGATATATGGACGACACCTGGGTCAAAATTAAAAGCCAGGAAGTGCAGGCTTTCACAGAACACATCAACTCTGTGGACAGTAACATCAAGTTCACACGAGATGACAAGATGTTCACAACAACAGTTTGGCCTTCCTGGACTGCGCTGTACACATTGAAGAGGACAGGAGCCTGCAGATTGGTTTTTACAGAAAACCCACACACACAGACCAATACCTACTGTTCGATTCCCACCACCCACTGGAGCACAAGCTAGGGGTCATGAGAACACTGCACCACAGAGCGGAAAACATACCAACAAGCGCCCAAGCCAGAGAGAAGGAACAGAACCACCTGAAGGGGGCACTTACAGCCTGTGGATACCCTAAATGGACCTTTGTGAAGACAGCCACAAGATCCAAGAAGAACAAAACTACAGGGGAGGAGGAAAAGAAGGTCAAACGCAACAACATTGTGATTCCATACGTGTCTGGAGTATAAGAGAAACTCAGGAGGATTTTCAACACACATAACATCCTTGTGTTTTTTAAACCCAAGAACACACTAAGACAGATGCTGGTACGCCCCAAAGACCGCACACCCAAACACAAGAAAAGCAATCTAGTGTATGCGGTCCAATGCAGTGAGGAATGCACAGACCTGTATATTGGGGAGACTAAACAACCACTACACAAATGCATGGCTCAACACAGAAGGGCCGACTCCTCAGGTCAAGACTCTGCAGTCTACTTACATCTGAAGGACAGAGGACACTCGTTTGAGGACCACCAGGTGCACATTTTAGACAGAGAAGATGGATGGTTTGAAAGAGGTGTCAAGGAAGCCATCTACGCCAGGGTCGAGAAGCCGTCATTGAACAGGGGAGGGGGTCTACGCCACCACTTATCCCCCACTTACAATGCTGTCCTTTCATCACTTCCCAGGAAACTCAACAAACGTAACCTATTGGCCTCAGGTGAAGATACCAACGATGGTCGTTCAGTCTTGGCCACAGGTAGTCTTAACGACTGTAACGACTGTTGTTACAGCAACCAGGAACACTAACGAACCAGCGCTATCGATGAACCAGCGGTATAGATGAACCAGCGGTATCGATGACCCTGGCCAACGACCCTGGCCAACGACCCCACTGAGGTTAAATAGCTGAGTTTCCCTGCCAGTCAGTCAGAACTGAAGAAGTCCTTTGGATGAGGGACAAAACGTCTTCCAGTATCTTCACCCAAATCCAGTTGCCCTTGATTTTAACCTTCGTTGGATAACAGACACCTAACTGATAAATGAATAAACTCAGAACTAAGCGGAACAGATGACAGGACTAACATGCATATACAAAACCAAACCCTCAGAATCAAAACCCCAAAAACACAGCACACAGGACAGGACCGTGACACTTCTTTTCACTTTTTCACATCATCCCTATTTCTATACCTTAAAACAACTTGTTTATGCTTTTAACTTTTAAGGTAACTTCAATCTTCTGTTCATTTGTTTATCTGTTAAAATTTCATACTTTCTCATTTATTTATTTACTATTTTCTCTGTAATCTATTTAAATTTATAAATTTACTAGTGATGTTATTATTACAACTTGTATTATTCAACTTTGAATAAAAAACGTAGGTTAGTGGGAGGGGTTGGTGTGAGTTGGTGAGCGAGTTTGTATGAATGAGTTTTGTAAGTGTATCTGTAATGTATGTTATGTAATGTTTCTGCTTATGATTTGTCTTTTGTATTCTGTATTTGTGTTTATAAGACCGTCTTTAATAAATTCAAATTCATCTAAGAATCTAAGATGGTTTTCTTCTTTGCATTTTGCAAGTGTCTGAACTGGCTGTGAGTAGATAATTACACAGAAATATACTTTGATGCGACACCAGCGTGTGTGTACACTCTGCCACTGAGCCACTGTATTGCTGCACACAAGCAGACTGCTGCGTTTCACACGGGCGCTGAAGGCTTTGTGTGAAATACTGATGCTTTGTCACCAGCTGTGGTAAAAGGTTTTACTTTCGGTTCCGGTTACCTCCTTGTCTCATCCTAACATACAGTCCCAAATAGATCTGTCAGTCGTTCTGAAGGGGGTGCTACCATCTCAGCAGAGCAAAAATGTAATGCACAGCAAAGAATAGGGCAGGTAGATTTTTAAAACATATTATGAATTCTCATACAGTCTCGTAATATTACGAGACTTTTGTTCTTGACACGTCAGAGAACACAGATCTGTGGGAGATATAGCTTTTTAGCATTATGAATGTGCAGAAAGTTTTTAACATGAGCAGAAAACCTACTGAAACACAGGAGCTATTAAAGTCCAGGAATTTATAAAGTAATTGCCGTGAATAGTTCCACATGCACATTTAAAGAGGTTACTTCCCCAAACAGAAGACACAAGACAATAGGAGGGAAGACTATTGTGAAGCCTTATTCTACTGCATTATATTCTGTTAATTTTTTTATTTGCAATTGTCACCTGCTGCCTGAATTTTGGGTTGCCCTTTACGTAGCCTAAATAAAACCATTTCCACCATAAATTGGTGCAGAAAATTTCACCAGAATGCAGGAAATGAAAGGTTTAATGCTCTTCTAGCTGTCACAAGAGACGCTAGCCTTAGCATCAGCTAACTAGCGAAATGACTAACAGACGCCTCAGAAATCATACTGAACAAACTTGGTTGGCTAATATGATAGTTCAGTGTTTAGTTCTCGCTAACGTTCGTCCGCCATCTTGATCTTCAGTTTTTGAAAGCTACCACGGCCGCTGTCGCGCTGGTTTATGGGTAATAGGCAGCAGTTACGGGGGCAGTAATCAATGTTACATTTTTCAGAGAGCCATCAAGTAAAGCGTCTCAAAGCGTACTTGCTCATGATAAACAGCATTATTAGTGTTTGTTTGATTAAAGTGAAAGACGTTTTCTTAGTCAGCTAGCAATAAAGATAAGTAAGTTGAAAGCAGTGAAGAAATGAGTAGCAGTCAGTCAGATGATTTAAGTGTAGAGCAGCACAAGGGATTAGTCAATGTTTTTTGATTAAATACTTATTGCCATTCCAATCAGAAATAGTTAGTAATTCATCCCTAGATATCACAACAAGAAACTCCAGTTGTTGATAATATTTCCTTCATGTTTGCTTTGGCACATTCAAAGTAAAGAGACAGAGGGAGAGTGAGGGATGCCGGCAGGGCAGTTAGAGCAGGTGACATACAGGTGAGGGAGAATGGGAGCAAACATTGAATGGTTAATATCAAATACTGACATCACAACAGTAATGTACAGAATCCTGTTGGCCTTCATATGTGTTTCAACATTCTTTGTAGTAAGTAGTTTACTGATAATATACTACTATACGTAGTAGATAATTACAGAGAAACGTAGATTTCTTTTCATTATTAGCACAAAATAGATCAGGTGATCAGCACTGACTCTCTTCTTAGAAAGTATTTCACAGCACTCACCTGCAACAGCTAAGATCATGAGCATGATGTCACAGCATAACAGTTTGACCTCCATGGTGCGATTCTTCTCTCTGTCTCTTGTAATCAACAGAGAAGTTAAACTGCCTGGAACAGAGAGGTGTGACTCTATTTGGTCTGGCTGGAAAATTGGTCAATTTCTAAAGCAAATCATTTCAGCAAGTTCATACAGATAACAAAGCCAGTGACCTGGACTCCAGGTATTCAAGACCAAAGAGTACGACATCGTTAAATGTGTAACACACCCAGATTTTATCCTGCTGGTCTGGGGATTGAACCGGCGACTTCCCGGTGTAGCGACAAGTGGCCCTCCGCCCGCAAGAAACCCCGCTCTCACGGGTCACCAACTTAGTGCATTATGAATTCAGATACCTCTTAGGCAACCTCTGATAACAAGCTAGTTTTAAATACTTGGTACTGGCCTAACCGTCAGCATTGAATGTCTAACTCCAGATTCACCAAGTTTCCCAGTCAACCCTTTAATTCCTCTCTCACTTTAGATTCCAGAGGGTAGAGCACTGAACACTAGGGGAGTGCATCTTCACTGGTCTCACGATTCAATTAGGATTAGCAGGTCAGATTCGATGCGATATCTCGATGCATCACGGTGCATCACCTCAAGGGTGGGAATTTCTAGGCACCTCATTGGTGCTACGATGTGATTGTAAAATGAACAGGATAAAGATGAATTTTTCTCACTGTGTGACTTCTTGGTATTTTTAAAGCACCAAGAAGTATTTTTAACATTGCATAGCATTATTACATTAATACAGTATTTTTACTGACCTCTGCTGCTGTTATTTTAATTTCTGATGCTTCTGTTATTAGTACAGAGTCAGATGTGTTGAACTACACACTTTACAATGCTCCAGCCAAACCATGTTCACTATACCCTACTATATCTGTTCCTGTTTTTGTCTCGTCTAGTGTTGTTACATGTTTGTTTTATTCCCAAAAATATATTTATTATTATTTTTGTAACTGTATTGTGATCTTGTATTGAGCACCGTGAGCCTTGAGAAACGGCATTTGGTTCATTTGTGTACTCGATATGTCTTGGCCAAAAAAGCAGTCTGAAGAGCAGATGTTAGTGCGCGCTAACTGCCTTCACTTTTCCAGTAGTTGGAAAACAGACAGACTTTAATAAACTGACACGCTGTAACCTACACTGTAAATTTACTGCCAGACTGAAACATAGCGCTCATGTTTTCCTCTGCTCCGCTCGCTTTTCCTCTGCTCAACTACTGCCGCCTGTCACGTAGCTGTCCTTTGAAGAATGAGGAGAGGACGCTACCGTGCTGCACAGTATGTGGGTGAAAATCATCAACGTTAGTATTGATTTTATTGATCATGTGAAAGTTTAGAAGCAGCAGTCATTCAATCAGCAGCTGTCTGTCTGTGCTGAACAGGGAGAACCACACGTCTCCGTTGTGTTCACACCACAGACAGTCTGTAGCTGCATTTCCACCTTTTACGTTCCGTCAACATAAAGTTATAAATTAACCTCTAGATAATCGATTATTCATAATCGTCTAAGTCCGCATCGTGATGCATCTAAAAATCTATTATTTTCCACACCCCTACTGAACACATTAACCTGGAATGAGCTCCTTAAAGGACCAGTGTGCCATGTTTATCTGTAATCAGGTGTGTTAATGTAGGCAGTGTGGATGTTAAAGTATGTAAACAACTTACCAGTCCAGAAGAGGGGAAGAAAAACAAAGACAAGTTGGAAAAGCCTTCTAGTTTCCCTTGGGGCGTTCACCCAAAGAGAAAGAGAGAAACGTAGTTATTTTCAAGAAAAAATGCTACAAAGTTCTTCACTAAATTCCCTTTAATATCCTAAGCTCTACCTGGATCGTCCTCTTCTGCCTCACCTGTGAGCGTCTGAACTAAGTATTCAAAAAGGAAAATTAATTAACAGGATAGCAATCTCTTATTTCTAACCAACATCAACTCACATCAACAACTACTACTACTTCTCCCCCTCAGCAACAGAAAGAAAGAAATCACAGGGTGGACCCCACCCTTTTCTCAAACAATCATTGGCTATCAAAATTTGAACATCACATTGATTTGCTTTAACATTACTTTTCCTATTTGGGTAGATTGTTCTTCTGTCTGGTAGTTGCAACACCCCTTTGCTTCAGTTCACAAATTATTCTCCAAATGAGGCAATAGGAAATATCATACAGGTCTCTAGGGATATCATGCAGGTGTGTACAATGCATATTAGTACAAACTTTCAAATCTCCAACTCATAGAGGCCAAATATAGAAGACCACACTTCTTAAACAAATGAACATTTCTTCTTTTTCATAATCTTAAATGCATGCACAAATGAAAATCCGTTTTAAATGCATCACACCAAATACAAGATACATTAAATCATCATTTCAACAGTCTTACTTTTCTCATTTCCTTCCTGTGGCAGTTGTGGTTGGGAGCCAACAGCTGGCAGGCCACATCCGCCCGAAGCAACCTCCATGTGGCCCAGCACATAATTTAATATTGCCTATATGACAACAAAAGTAAACTACAGTGTATGAAAGTAGGTGAGCTATCTCATCTTTGTTGAGTTTCACATGCACTGTTCCGATCACCGTCAATCAAGGGTCAACACTTGCTGTCCGACCTGCAGCCTCTCCGCTCCTACAGAGCGCCTCCACTCCGCACGTGCGCTCGCCCACACGGAAAACGCAATGTTTTAATCTGCTCAGTCTCTCATCCACCGCAGCTGTGTTTTACACAAGCACAGCGCTAGTTCAGATAATAGATCATTGTTACAAACAAGCTAAACTGAAAGCTGTCTGTCTTCAGTAACTGTTTAACTTAGTTTGCCACGTACATTAAAATATGGCACATCAGGGGCGTTTTTAGGATCATGAAACATTGGGGGCTTAGCCCAGCCCATAAAACTTCATATCTTCACATAATAATTTACCCCCCCCCAATCCCCCAAGTTAAGTCTGTAAGGCAGTAAAGCCTTATACGGCACAACAAAACACAAAACTCACAACAACACAATTTTGTGTCTCATTTTGATGTTGCTAAATTGTAATGTCATGTGTCTAATTATAATAATATAACAACAAAACTGCAACAGTTTGAACAGGGAGTAAATTGTGAGTGTTAACTTAATTTCCTGGCATTCTGCCTTTTCTGCATCAATTTATGGTGGAAATTATTTATGTAAAGGGACACACAAAACTCAGGTAGCAGCAGGGGGCTAAATCTTTGTGAGCCGGTTTCACTGGTTGCTTTTAAATGACCTGAAGGCTGGCAATTCTGCCTTCAGATGTTATGACTGATTACTTGTTTGATCGTCCTTGATGCTGAATTGTGAATATTTAAGAACATTTTGATATTTTATGACCTTGTAACTGATTATTTATTTCCATCTTAAATGTGCGGCCTCGAGCACCTTTTTTTTTTCTCCCTCAACATTTCTACAGGCTACATTCTGTCCTCGACTAATGTGGACTGTGATGGTCTCTTAGTAAACCGCCTCCTATGAGCCAGCTCCGAAATCAACTGAGCCAGGAAGGCAATGCCACAGAAAACTTTACGTTAGGAAAGAGGGGGGGACAAAACATAGATTTTGAAATGAAATATGTATAATGGCTCCTCTGCCTATCAGGTGATTAACCTCACCTCAAATCACAAGTTCAGTGTCTCTGATGAAGTGCAGCTCACAGCCGCTTCAGGTGTAGCAGAGAGGACAGACACACAGCGACTGCTGGATCATCTTATTCTGGCTAATTTGCAGTAGAATAAATAATAACAATAATCTCTCTCTCTCTCACTCTCTCACTCACTTTTAATAACATGGTAAATGTAATACCTGCATAATTTGTGCCGTCATTAATAAATAATCTGAAATTATGTTTTCTGGAATTATGCTAGTTTAGCGGAGTTAATGATTCCACTTGCCATCACTGTTTGTGGTATTATTAAATTAAATCTCCATTTTGTCATTAGTCAACTGTTTAATTTTTACACTGTTAACTAGTTTTGTTATACTGTTTATTTTATTATGTATTTTGTGAGAGTAACAGACATTGTTGGCCATGGAGACCTTTGTGTGTGGCATGGGCGCCTTCTGCTGTGCCCCTGCAGATTTGAGCGGTGCACCCAAAAACTTAACTACATGTGCTGTCTCCGTGAAACTTGCTAGAACCGATCTTTATCCTGTGTTACCAGATACACGGCAGATTAAAGCCAAAGATCCACGTGTGTGTTTCACTTTTCTACACAACGCAAACACTCCACTATCAGTAGATTATTTATCCTGTGAATAAAGTCTATGGTCGTTAAAATATATAAACATTTCTGTGAAAATACGTAATTACAAAGACGAATGTTAAAAAAACAGTCAGGCGGCTGATGCTGGTTCTCACTGAACTGCCCCTTTCCATTAACCTTAGCTGCATGGCATATTTGTATTAATATTGTTTCCGAATCAAGGTCCCATGGCCCAGATGTAACATTAGAGGAGCGTGACTTGGGCACTTGCATTTTTCATTTTAATTGTGCATGTTATGCTGTTACTACTTTGGTGGTTAACATTGTTGTTTTCCTTTTAAAATTTTAGATAATGAAGTTGATGGAGAAGCAGTGGACTGTGGATTGACTGAGAGGATGGTTTCATACCTCTTTGAAGGATTGTTTAAAAAGCAAGCTAAATTCAATCGATTTGTTCAGCAGTGGAAGGAAACCGTGCCTGTAACCCTCGAACCTGTCCCGATACAGTCAGGGCAGGCTACAGTAGAACCAAGGTATGGTGTTGTGCGATTGTTGTAGGCTTAAGCGAAACCATGGAAAAATAACAATATCATCTCATCTATATATCATCTCGTCTCGATAAGCAGCTTGGTCTTATGAACACCCAAAAGAATGATGGATTGAACGGAAATTGGTGTGAAGAACTTCTGTATGGTTGTTGCGGACATAGCTATGGTAGGCATGAGAAGAGAGACGGATGAGAATTCGGCAGTGTGGTCTAATGCCCGATACGGAATGAGTGACCGGAGTACGAGTCCAAAGAATCTTGAATTATGGGATAGGCGGAGATGGGGACCAGTAATGTGGGACGGCTCTGCCTGAATCAGTGGTGAAGGTGAGCATTGCAGAGCGGTCTGGTAATGTAGGGTGTGGTTGTCTGTGTGTGCCAGGATGGCTGGACCTCATGCCCCCAAAGAATGGCAGCGTTTCGAAAGGGTGGAGGAAGGAGGAGGGTGATGACTGTTCTGGTGGCTGCTCGGATGCGGTCATCGCCTCCGCGGCGATATTGACCGGCCTTGTGGGATGATGCAGGGAGTTTAGGTGTCCTATGGAGAGAGAGAAATAGGTGCTTGGTACAGTGCGACGGGGGAGATAGTTTGGGATGTACGGAGAAATGTGAGCTTGGGAAGGAGGCTTGGAAGGGAGTGGATTAACCTCTTGGTACCGGACCTGCCTGATTTTCGCTGTTCTAGCTGTTTTCTGTCCAAAAATGGCGGTCCATTGTGTCAATGGGGGGTCATCTGGTGCACAGGGGTGCAGGATGGCTCTGACCCTCCCCGGGGCAAACACCAGGGATCGAGGAGAAACCGAAAGTGCCTGGAGATCCCCCACCCTCCTCAGAGAGGTGATACCGAGGAGAAAGGCCATCTTAAGGGTCAGGTGCTTGGCCTCAGCAGACTCCAGGGGTTCGAAGGGGGCCTCAGCCAGCACTTTCAGAACCACTGCCAGGTCCCAAGAGGGAACCCTGGAACGAGTCGCGGGTCTCATCCTCCGGGCTCCACGGAGGAAGCGCACAACTACTGGAAGTCTCCCCAGAGGCCCATCCCTCAGAGGGACGTGGAACGCTGCAATGGCAGCCACATAAACCTTGAGTGTGAATGGGGAAAGGCCAGCAGAGGAACACCAGTACCATAGTCAGGGGGCAAGTAACTGGATCCACCGTCCGTTCTCTACACCAGGTGACAAACACATTCCACTTCAGGCCATACATCCTTCTCGTGGACGGGGCTCTGGAGCTGAGCAGCGTCTTGACTGTTCCCGCCGTCAGGCCTGCCTCAAGGAACTGGGCCCCCTCAGGGGCCAGACCCACAGTCTCCACAGGGCGGGGCAAGGGTGAAAGACCTGGCCCTCCACCTGAGACAGCAGATCCCTCCTCAGGAGCGAGATTATGTCCGAGAACCACACTCGGCGGAGTAGTTTCATTCATGATTTCAGCCCTGCCACGCCCAGAGGGGTTCCCATAGTGTCGTCACCGACGCAATTCGAGTTACCTCGAAGGGGAACTAGCGGCTGAACTGTCTTCAGCATGTTTAAGGTGTCGATAGACGTGGTCTGGGGTATCTGTGCGGCTAGATTGAGCAAACATGTTTTAATGCGGTAGCTATATAAAGGCAATGTAAAAGTATTTAAAGCTAGGCTAAAATAGCACAAGACTCCTAAGGTTTAATTGCTGGAGGTGGAAGGCGCCATGCAGCCTGGGAAGCAAGATGGACGTGATATGTAAAGAACCCAGTACCGCTTGATCACAAGCAGAGTCCGAGATGATTGGAAGATAGTTGTCCGCCCTGCAATGAGGGAAAACTGAACAATTGTGTCACGACAGAGGGAAAAGCGAATGCAAACTCAACGGCTGTAAGTTCTCTGGAGCAAGAAGAAGCTCTACGAGCTGAGCAGAACCTAGCAGTGAAGAGAGCTCCCTCGGCCCGGCGGCAGGACCTGTGGAGGCAGGAAAAGAGAGCGAGGTCAATGAAAGCACCAGATAGAATCAACTGCCGGAGTGAATGCGAGACTGGTGAGGGGCGCCTGGCCGAGGGAGGGTAAAATGGGGGTTAGCGGATGCTAGTGTGAGGTAAGGTGGGCGGTATGACGGAGCCTGGATTAGCTGTGGAAACAGAAAACACATGGGGAATGGGGGAAGGGGTGGAGGAAGGGAGGGGGTGGATGGCGGGGAAAGAAAATGAGGAAATTGGGTCGTCCATGTGGTCCAGCGACTTGGCTAGC